ACACGCTGCTTCTCTGGCCATGCTGAGGCCGCGTCCCACATACAGCAACTAGAAGGATGTGCAGCTATGACATACAACTATCTACTGGGGCTTTGGGGGGAAAAAATAAATAAATAAAATCTTTAAAAAAAAAAAAAAAAAAAATAGGTGGATTTAAGAGAATCTGTGCAAAAAACCCCAAAAAACCAAACCCCAAAACCCACAGCTGCTGCTGCTATGGAACTGGATTAGTTAAGTGAGGGGCAAAGATAAGCCAAACCAAAAGAAAAAGAATCTTTGAAACTATGCCTATGGGAAGAGAGAAGAGACTAGAAAGATTTAAGGGCCATCCTCTTCTTAGCCCCCGGGCAAAGCCAGAGCCGTGTTTAATCAACCTTCCCAATCAATGTACAGGCCTTCGTTATCTCTGACTGGACCAAAAAAAGAGGCTCTTAACTGGTCAACCTGTCTCCGGTGTGGTATTTGCTCTTCTGTCCTGTACTTACCCCTGAATTAGTTTTCCCAAAACTCTTCAGATTCCCACAGAAAAAGGGCCAAACTCATAGTAGTCAAAGCACTTCATTATCTAGCCCCTACAATCTAGCTTCCAGCTCTCTTCCCAGGATCTACATGAGTTTTCTACTTTGGCTAAACAAGAATGTTGTCCCTGCACACCACGATTTCCCACCACCCAGCCTGTGCTCATTTCAAGTCCCAATTCTTACATTTGCCTGAGCCCAATTCATCCTTTGAAACCTCACTCCAACTCTACCTCCCTGAATAAAGCCTTTCCTGATCACTATTGCTACTTAGAACCATCTCTTCTTTCCCTTGGTCTACTACCTGTACCATTCACTTAACACGAAGCAACTTTTACCTTCCCTGCTTATATTCCTTGCTAGACTGAGCCCCTTCTCAGGGGTCAAGATCCAACTGACCAAGTACTGATTTATGTTAATTCCAAGTCAGGTACTGGGGGCAGACAGACTAGGGCTACTTAGAGAACTTGTCAGGCTTTTAAAACTCAAATATCTGTCCTCCACAAATAAAGAACTCAGAAGACACCAGTAATGCTTTCTGAATGATTGAAAAATACTCAAAGTCAATATAAACATGTCTTTCCCTACTTATCTCCCATTAACACGAAGGCATACTGGGTACCAAGCCAGGTTAATAGCTTCACCAGCCAAAGCTCCGATGAGACAAAAAGTACATAGGAACTTTTACTTCTAGAAATTGAGCATCAGGAAATTTGGATCAACCTACTGCTAAGGCCAACTAAAAAGCATAAAAAGGCTAACTAGGTAGTGAGGAGTTACTGAGCCAAAATCTAGATGAGAACCCAGAGCCTAGAACTCAAAGCTGCTCTCTCCCTCAAGGCATTTGCAATCTGGAAGAAGCCCCTGGATGGCTGAGCTGCACTTTTAGAAGCCTCATGGTCTAAGGGGACAAAAATCAAAACCTAAGGCCAGCTAAAGGTGGGAACCCCCACCACAGACACCATAAGCTGGGATTCCAAAGTGTTACACACTTTCAAGTTGAGTTAGACAAAAGTAAACCAGTCCTCACATGAACTTGACACCTGGTTGTGTGCCATCTGGATGATCCAGGGAACCTCCAGTCTTCAATCTGATTTAAGGTTTGGTAATATTCCCAGGTACAGGCAACTGGAAATCCTTCCTGGAAGCAGATGCCTCATCCTTCTCCTGTTTATTCCTACAAATAATTTTTCAGATATACTGTCCAGGTCATAGATAACCCAGCACACAGACAGCTCACTATAAAGAACAATCAGTAGAGAGACCCATGAAGACTTCAGATTTTGAAATTTTAGACAAAGTATCATACCCTCCCTACAATGAAGTGCTAATTATTTATTTGAAAGTATGGTTTGGGGTGGGTAGCTAGAGATTTTTCCCTAGGTAAACTCACTCCTTTCTTCCTGAAAGTGTCAACCTTACACAAGGTCCAGTTTATTATTATTTTTTTTTGAGGAAGACTGGCTCTGAGCTAACATCTTTGCCAGTCTTCCTTTTTCTTTTTTCTCCCCAAAGCCCCAGCACATAGTTGTATATCCTAGTTGTAGGTCCTTCTAGTTCTGTGTGGGTCAGTGCCTCAGCATGGCTTGATGAGCAGTAAGTCCGCACCCAGGATCCGAACCGGTGAACTCCGGGCCGCTGAAGTGGAACTCATGAACTTAACCACTACGCCACCGGGCTGGCCCCTCGTTTATTATTTTTTAAGGGATTTTTAAAAATTAAAGTATAGTTGACATACAATATTGTATTAGTTTCAGGTGTACAACAGTGATCTGACATTTACATACATTACAAAATGATCACGCTGATAAGAGTAGTAACCATCTGTCACCATATGAAGTTATTACAATATTGTTGACTATATTTCCTATGCCGTACATTACATCCCTGTGACTTATTTATTTTATAACTGGAAGTTTGTTCCTCTTAATCCCCTTCACCTATTTCGCCCTTCCCCCACCCCGCTATCCAAGGTCCAATTTAACTGTAGCTATAGAAGACTATAGCACTCTCTGAAGCTGTTTTCAAGGAAAGAATCACCAGGGCAGCAGAAAAGTCACTGTTCCTTAAGAACAGTATTTAACAAACTATCTTTAAACCCATGCTCTTTTCTAATAAATGTAAAATCCTCACATCCACTTGTGTATCTAAAATTTCAAAACTGAATATGCCAAAGATAAAATAGTCATTCTAAACCTTTTATCCCTCTAATAGTATGCTCCCTGTCCTCATCCTTGAGAATCAATGCTCTAAAAAGTTCATTAGCTTTTTCTGTAAGATACTCACTTTGGCAATCAGTCAGTTTTCATTTTAAGCAGAGGATTTTTCATCATACCTCAACCTAGGTGTAACTCCTGTAGGAATGACAAATTAAGGCACGTGTCCACCAACCCACGATGCACCAAGTTTGCCTTGTTTGTGAGCTTTTTCAAATGTATATCAATACTACAGTGCAGGGGCCCACAAACTTTTATGGACAGGGCCAGAGAGTAAGCATTTTCAACTCTGTGGCCCATACCGTCTCCGCAGTTGCAGTGTGAAAGCAGCCACAGATGCAAACGAATAGGCGTGGCAGCGTTCCAATAACTTTATTTACAGAACCAGGCCACAGGTTGCTAAGCCCTGCTATAGTGAATAACAAAATACAGATTCACTGAGAGGCATTACTGAATTCATTTGTCATTCAACTTTTATTGTTTTCTTAGTCAAACACTTAAAAGTACAAATTCTAATAAAAGAATGTGAGATTTGGATGTTAACAAGGGGTTATTCAGACTGGAAAGTTGAGAATCACTGCTGCAGAAAGGTTTTGGTCTTCAGATCTGATAAAAACCACTATAAAGAAATCTGCTGTAACATTTTCAAGTGCATATTCTATGTCCCAAGCTGTGCTCAACACTTTCTTTACATGGACTATTTAATTTAATCTCCCATTTGAAAACAAAACCCAATGATGCACATACAATTAATCCTCATTTTACAGAAAAGGAAACTATGGCCCCAAAAGTTCAGTAGCTTGGCAAAGCTCACATAGCAAGTTAGTGGCAGAGCAGACTAAACTCTAGGGCTACAAACATTTAAAGGCCATTCCTTTAACTACTACACTAGCCAACCAATCCTTCCTGGTGGGCAGAGAAGATTCACCACGTGTGGAAGGTTGGCCCAAATTCTCGTATCCCCCGATCTTTTTCTTCTCCTTGGGGAGCTCTTAACAATTATCACTGACTCTGGAACTCTGATCTCCCCTGTACCCTTCTGACCCAGGCATGGACATTTACTCCTTTCATTCCTCTTAAGCTTAAGACTTAACTATAAAGAGGATAACAAATGGGATTAAAACAGAGAAAATAATAACTAGCTCACTAGATATGGCTGTTCAGACCATAGGTCCTGGCCTATCCTTATAGGTCTCTATAAGTTGCCTTCTTCCTTGGGCCTTGACCTACCTCCGTGGGATAAAGACACTTCCATAGGGGCCAGCCCGGTGGCACAAGCGGTTAAGTGTGTGTGCTCCCCTGCGGCGGCCTGGGGTTCACCGGTTCTGATCCCGGGCTCGCACCGACGCACCGCTTGTTAAGCCATGCTGTCGCGGCGTCCCATATAAAGTAGAGGAGGATGGGCATGGATGTTAGCCCAGGGCCAGTCTACAGCCACAAGAAAAAAAAAAAAAAAAAGAGGAGGATTGGCATCAGATGTTAGTTCAGGGCTGGTCTTCCTCACAAAAAAAAAAAAAAAAAAAGACACTTTCCTACCTGGGAATGCCCCTAAGTTCAAGCCCTAGAAATCAAGGTCAAGGGAAAAACTCCTTTCACTAGTCTAAGGCCTACCTTACAGATCCCCATTTTTTGTCCTAGGAACCATCTTTTCTCTGGATAAAACACTAAACCAAGATGTCTACTCCATTTTGAGGAGATTCCAAAACCCAGCCATGGTGGTGTGGTCTTACCCTGTGGCCCCAAAGGGCAACCATATCGTAATATAATAGCCGAACAACACTGGGTGCAGTGAGAAGGTGTCTGTCATTTTCCTTATAGAAACCTACTCTACTTCCCAGCCAGAAGCCATTTAGTAGGAATGGGGCTAACACCTGCAATAGTGAGTGAGCACACCACACTGATTCTGTAACAAGAAGACTTCAGTGAGGCAGCGTTCCCCATTCCTGGTCCATCCTTCAGGACTTTTGATGGCCCCCACAGCTGCCCTTCCCTTGTTTTGGTGTGACTATCCCACTGTAAGTCCATTCCCATTACAGCCACTGCTATGCTCCTCTTCCAGGAACAAGTGACTACCCTAGAAAAAGAAGAGATGAAACAAATTGCCCTTCAAATATGAAGTAAAATAATTCTTTAATTATTAAAAGATTACTCTTGGGCTTTAAAAAAAAGTCTATATATCTTAAATGTCATGTTGAACTGGGGAAATGGTTATAGCAGCCTCACATAAATTATTTGAATTAATAAACATTATCACAGTATTAAGAAGGCAAGGTAAACAAATAGCTTAAGTATTTTATTCGTTTGCAACTAAGCTTGTTAACACTATATAATGAAAATGTACAAAGAATAATGTTGCAGTTTTTGGTTAGATTTAAGTCAAAGACATTCATTAATAAGGAATCTTCGAATATGAATATTCCAGAAATTTCTCTAAGCCATCTGATCAGAACAACTGTCTCTGAATATTACCTTACTTTGGAAGGTATTGGCATACATTTGAATTAAACTCAGAATTTTTCAAAATAAGCCCTAATTAAAAAAACTATTCTATATTCAAACTAAAACAAGTTTAATAGAACTTTCCTTTCCAGAAACAATAATAAAGGAAACAAGGCATTTTGTAAAATGTGGTCCTGAACAAGTCACAGTAAAAAATAAATGTATACTTAACTTCCACCTCCTCAAAACAGAGGCTACTTTCTGTTCCTCAGCCTTGGAAACAAGGTGAAGAACAGTCTGTAAGCAACTTCGGGCAGGGGGCTGCCAAAACAAAGCTCAAGCAGTTGAACATGGACACCTCTTAGAAGAATTTGGGGGAAGCTGACCAAAGGATTCAAATTCTATTTTTAGTAACTGATACGAAGGTAAAGTGGCTCCTCCCAAACAGCAGTGCCGCTGGGGCCTGGGCGGGCCCCGTGCTCACCCATGTCATGCTCCCAAGCAAACCCTGATACTCCTGCTCCAGGGGAGACTTTTTCTTTTTAGAGGTTCAGTATCCAGGGAGCTCTTTGTGTGAGTGAGGTGAGCAGAGACTCCACGTGGGTATTTTAAGGCTTGGAGTCAAAGTATCTTTGTAACACGGCTAGGCAGAGTCCATGTGTCAAATGGCCTGTCTCCGGTTTGTTCTAATTCCTCATCACGCATTTGTAGACCTAGGACCACAGACCTTTGCTATGTCATCATAATCACATCTAATGTCCATCCTAACTTATGATTCATATTCTGTGCCTGGAAACAGTCCCTGTATTTAACAATAATACCTACACATGAAACAATCCACTGTTACAACTTATATGGTCACAAAACATTAACAATCTTCTGTAGACCAAGCAAATGTTTTTAACCATAATTGTCGTGCATCAAATTCACAGCCAGAATCCCCAAGATCAAAAAAATTTGCACAATACAAATAATAACTTAAAAGACACATACACACATATACACACACTCTCACACACACTTCTTACAGAACTGTGCTTGGGGAAACGCCATTTGTTGAGTGCCACTGAGGGCATATTTTGCTAAACTGCTGCTCCAGGTATTTTTGTTTGGAAAATCTATCACAGTAGGGCACAGCTGTTTATTGGATGAGCAGAAAAGAAAGATATGCTTGTGGCAACGAGAAAGTTTTAAGGTCTTTCAAGTTGTATAAAATGGACCTGCAGAAACGTTTAAGTGTTCTCAGGATGCAAAGTTGGAGCTGAAATGTGATATCAAACCAGTTGCAAAAAGTGTACAGCAGCCATCTCTTGAGGTCAAACCTGGTACCCAGATACGCAAGAAAGCTTCAGGACACGTCTATAAATTAGGAATAAAAACAAAAGAGTGTAAGAATACTAAAAAATATAGTGTTGTGCTTTTTTTTAATATATTAACTAATGATAATGTGATAAACAGCATAGAGGATATGAATCACCACTGAAAAGGTCCTAAATTTTTAAGAATTTAAGAAACCTGACTCAGGTTCAGTTTACATATATAGCTATTTATAATTTATGTTTTGAGTAATTGGTAGTTGCAAGATGTTTAGAATTAAGAAATTCTGACCACACACTTGATAAGTTAACTTAAGGAATCAACTTTCATAAATTAACAATTGAAATTATCTTTCTGGGGAAAAGCCAGGTAATAAACAAACTGGCACTGGAGTCCGACTGCCAGTTTCAATCCTGGCTGAATCACTAGCTATACGAGCTTGGACAAATTACTTAACTTCTTTAAGTACTATCCTTACCTATAAAATAGGGCTAATAATACTTCTTCTCTCATAAGGTTACTGTGGGTTAAATAAACTTCCTGAGGATTTAAAGGGCTTAGTGCAGTGCTGGGCATGTAAGTATTCTCTACATGTTAGCTATTATTTTACTTCACAGGGTTTTTCTGCTCTCAGGAGACAGGTATTCAGCGTCAAAATCTTACGCTTGGAAGTTGGAAAATTCAAACAAAAATTTGGCAATACTTACAGCTTGTTGGCCTTGTCCCATATCGTCGCATAATCTGATCATGTGTGAATTTCACAAAAGATTCATACTGTTCTGTGAGGGGAAAGACAGTATATACTATCCCCAGAAACTCTCCCTCAGTTTTTTGAGAATCAAGTGTCAGGATCACATCTGGCTTCCCAGTTTAAATTATCCACTTTTGGGCCCTCCTTATAATGGTCACTGTGAGATCTGTTACTTCCTCTTAGATCCCAGAGCCAAATCCCCAGCTCCTAGATTTGGTCACTGATCATCTACGATATAACATTTTTCTAACAATCTCACCCTTGCCGTAACTCCATCCCCTACTAATGGTTTCCCAAGACAGATATGCTCACTACTAAAAGCCAGCAAATTTTAGGATCTCTCCTATGGGACATCAAGTTTGAAGCTCTTTTCTGCACTCTATCCTTGCTATAAATTTTAACATACACATTAAGTGAAAGACGTGGGAGGCTAGAAAGCTAAGAAAAAATTCCATACTACCTAATTGTAGACAGTTCCACAGAAGTACCTTCTAAAGGGAAACTCAGTAGAAAGATATAAGGTAGTCTGATATCCATGAACACAGAAGTCACTTAGAGCCAGCTGGTCTGAACAATTTTGGGGTGGGAGTAGGAGGGGAATGATATACTAGAGCTTCTTATAATACACATTATTAATATATTAAAGGATCAAAGCAGTTCTACTATAAAGAAACCCATTTGACTTTGTTGTTAAACCAACAGTTCTCAATTTAAAATAGACCTATTAACATTCTGAGGAACCATGTGGTGTGGGTCACCAGATTAGGAAACAATACTGTCACAGGAAGAAGTTGTTGCCTAAAATCGCTCTGATCACAACATGGTCCTCTTTTACTAAACAGGTACTGCTTTCCATTCCTGATTCAGAGCCCTTCCTTTCCCAAAAGGCTCTACTTTGTTGTCATCCCTTTGTTCTAGCCTGAGCTGTGCTTTCCAAACGCTAATGTATTCTCTCATGTACCTCCAAATCACAGGATGCCTGACTTCCCACAACCACAAAGTGACTCCCACCAGGAAGTCTGAATATGTTGACTGTATTCCACTCCTCCCAACCACCTGTTGGGAGTTTAGCACTTTCCCAACCACCTGTTTACCCGCCAGCTAGCCCAAATAACCTACTCAATGCCTTTATTCATATGGAAAATTCTTGAAAGAAAAGCTTGGTTTATTGTTTCAGAAATGTACATGAAAAGTCCTTCCATATAATGTAAAAATGAAATGTTTAGAATCAGAGAGTAATTTAACACAACTCATTAAATCTTCTTGCATTAAGTCCTACTCGTTTTCTAAATTACCATTTACTTAACTAGGATTAATCCTTACTGAACCCTATTAACAATGGCATAGCCACTGCCTCAGCCTACCTGCTAGTTTGGTATTGAGGATTTGCTCATACTCCTCCCGAATTTTATCTTCATAGTCTTTTAAGAGACGCTCACATATTATTCCAACTTGTCGGAGGGTAAAGGTGGGCTGGTCCTTCTTCATCCAGGAGGAACCTGGTCAAAAGACAAATCTAGTTTGCATAATACATTCTAGTTCTAAGACTCAGAATTAAAAACTTTACATAAACAGTCTAGGATATAAAAATTGTTTAGAAAAATGATAGTTTTCACTACTTTATAAGCAATATTTTCACATAATTCTCTTGAGTTTCTGACATTTGTTTTACAAAGAAAGGCCAAAGGTAAATTGAGTAGGAGGAACAACATGTATCCAGGTGTGCTGGTTGATCTGCATACAGAAAAATAGTTCTGATGCCATAACAGTCTGAGCCCATAGTCAATGTTCATTTGGTAGAAGACAAGAACAAAAAGTTTAAAGCTGATATAAAGCCTCCAGTCTGGGTTAGAGAAAGTAGATTCACAGTATGAACGCTACCCAGATCCTTGCAGATCACCTAGATCTATGTTTAACCAAGGTGGTGCATCATAATTATCTGTAGAATTAACCAAAAAGAGATACATATTCTGATTTAATTCTGGGGTAGGGCTTGGGTAGCGTTTTAAGTTCCACAGGTGATTCTGGTAAGAAATGGTTAGGAGTTTGACACTTAGGAGACCAAGTGACTTGCCCAATATAAAAACTGTTAGCAAAGTCATTGAAGTATGAATGAAGGAGACGATTAGGCAATAAACATCTCATCCTTGATCTCTTTTGAACCTAGGTCAAAAAGAGTGAAATGTTCATAAGATAGTAGTTAGAAACCAAAATATCCACTGCAATGCCCGAAAACATGGAAATTGGCTTCTTGATCATGATAAAAGCTGCAGTTCCACTGGTAGCCCAGTTCTGAGTTGTTCCTCAAAGCTCAATCTGAAATCCGTTTCTTTGGCCCTCTTAGTCTATAAACCATTTTTTTTTTTTTGTGAGGAAGATCAGCCCTGAGCTAACATCCATGCTAATCCTCCTCTCTTTGCTGAGGAAGACAGGCTCTGAGCTAACATCTATTGCCAACCCTCCTCCTTTTTTCCCCCAAAGCCCCAGTAGATAGTTGTATGTCATAGTTGCACATCCTTCTAGTTGCTGTATGTGGGACGCGGCCTCAGCATGGCCGGAGAAGCGGTGCGTGGGCAAGCGCCCGGGATCCGAACACGGGCCGCCAGTAGCGGAGCGTGCGCACCTAACCGCTAAGCCACGGGGCCGGCCCTATAAACCATTTAACACCCTAAAACAAATCATTTTTTGCTTACACCAAAATTTTTTCTCTATAGCTGAAATCTGACCAAAACATCTAGCCAGTCATTATTTGTAATTGTTTCTCTACCCATAACAGATTCTATTACTTCAAGATTACATTATTAAAATCTCAAGAGAAAATTAAGGAGAGACTTGCCAGCTATAACCAGTGAAAGGTCTGTTACTCATGTACGTGCAAGAGCAATTAGAAAGGGTGTTGTTCCAAAGCCAAGACCTTTGGGTTATAAGACAATTCTTCAAAAAATTACTTGAGGTGAAATTCACATAAAATGAACCATGCTAAAGCAAACAATTTGGTGCCATTTAGCACAGTGACAATGTTGCACAAGCACTACCTCTATCTAGTTTCAAAAACACTTCTACCACTTCAAAGTAACACCCCTTACCATTAAGCAGTTTCTCCCCATTCCCCCCTTCCCCCAGCTCCTGGCCAACACCAATTTGTGTTCTGTAAGGAGACAATTTTTAACCAAGGTAATTTTTACCTCTTGGAACTGTTACAAAGTATAACACTTTATGAGGAAATAAACTCCTCTACTGTTAAAGGAGACAGAGTTCACCACCCAACGGAGATGTTCGAGCACTGGCCTGTTGACTATTTGCAGGAGCATGGCAGGCAAGACTGGTGGCTGAACTATGTGACCATGAATATTCCCTCCAACCCTGAAGATTCTATTTTTGAGCACATCCTCTCTGACCACCTGTCAATGTTATAGAGCAGTGCTGTCACACAACTTTCTGCAATGAGGGAAATCTCCTATAGTTGTGCTGTCTAATACAACAGCTACATGAGGCCGATAAGCACTTGAAATGTGGCTACTGCATCTGAGAAACTAAACATTAAAATTTTATTAAATTTTAATTAATTTAAAATTAAACAGCCACATGTGACTAGTAGCTATGATAGTAGATGTTGCAGTTATACAGGGTACTCTTGCACTGGGTGGAAGGAAACCCAACAAATCAATCTAAGGTATTTTCCAATTTCATGACTCTATGGCTTTAAAAGTATTTATAAGTAGTAATATAATGCATACACTTTATTACTTTAGACAAAATCAATTTTGGATTAGGAAACTATCATTTTAAGTACCATTTATGAACTCTTAAATGGACTGTGCACACGAAAGCATGCTTACCTGGAGAACTAGGTGCTGTGAGTGCTGAGGAGTGAGGCTGACTTTCCGAAGTACAAGCTTCACTCTGATTAAGAACAACTTCTAAATGTCTCCACCTCTGATAACGACTATATTCTTGTTTTATGTTCTGAAAAATTTGCTCTAATAAAAAAGAAACACACTTGAGCATTCACTTTATTGTCTCATTTATTCAAACTTCTTTAACGACAAAAAGGTTTATACTGAATAAAGCACTCCTCCTATAACTCCCTAAGTGTGCCCTCTTATTGCTATTTCAACAATACACAGAATAGCTATTTTGGCATAAGCCACCCAGATAGTCCCCTTCACTTGTTTTTCCTGTGATAACGAAGACAGATCTGCTGTTTGCTGTAGGATTAACTAGTAAAACTAGTACAACTTACAGCAGCAAACAAAAATATCCCATCCACCTAATAGGGAGCTATTTTTGATCTCCTTTAAGTTGCATAATTTCACAAACTAGGGTATTAGGGGTGAGTGTCTTACCACCCAAGACCTTCTAACAACGAAGCTCTGGTCCTGTTTGGGACTCAAGATCTTTGAGGAAGAGGACAGCAGAAACCATTATGTTCACAGCGTGGACATTGACCAGGGGAAGACCTGAGATTTACTGCTTGGAATTGATGATAAGGGCTCAGAAAAGAATTTTCTGATCTTATAAGAGGCAATATTTGGTAGGATCCAGATTACTATTCTGAGTCTAGGTAATTACAAACCAAATCTGCTAACGCTATTAAAAGATCCATGACACACAAATCACTAACCACCTTGAAGTCCACTCCTAGAGACAACAAAGAATCTGGAAGGATATGACTTTCAAGTTTTTTGTTTTTGTGGTAGAATAATGTATTCACCCTCCAGATAATAAAGCTTCCTTATCAAAAACAAAAACCAGAAAACTGTATCACCACCCACCACTCAGATTATTCTAATGTATACCTTGCTATAACCTTATTTTTTTAATGGGGGAAAGCCTTACTAACGCCGTTTTGCTTCTTCCTAGCTGTGTGACTATGACCTTGGAAAGTCATTCAGGATCTTTAGCCTAGTTCTTCAATATAAATGTTAAATGCCTACCTGACAAAGTTGTGAGAATCAAAATCAAAGATAATAATGCCATAACAAATGACAGTACAGCCCAGGAACTGATATGAACTCAAAGTTGCTCCACACATAGCTAAACCCCATAACACTCAGCTTAAACACTGGAACAGTGTAGGATTAGCAAAGCTTTCCTTTAAGAATGCTATGAAGTTCATATTTTAGATCCCTGAATTGATGAAGTTTTCACTTCATCTTTAAAATGTATTATTCTCCAAGCACATACTTGCCAGATTCGATACAAGGATGTAAGGAACTGCAAAGACTTGAAACAAGAAAGGACAAGCATGAGGACAATGCTCATGAGAACAGAAGGTCTTTGATAAACCTCAAACTGCCTCTTGTATGGTAAAGTGAACAAATGGAAAGATACAACTTTGAGGCTGGAAGAAGGACTAGCAAGTTCAAGATTCTAAAGATGGTACGCAGGGGACAAAAATAAGGAAGTAGATGTGATTTCCTTCCCAAAGCCACTTAGAACAGGAAAAGGCATTTTTTAAAAAAAAGAAAAATGCACATTTCTTTTTAACAGTAGATAATAATTTTAATCCTTGCCTCCCATTATTATTTGAGGTTGTGCTTCCAGGTTATATCAGACTAAGCCCATCCTCAAAATTCTACACATAGCAAAATTCAAACTCAAACATGGCATTCCATGCCTTCCAAGCCTTGGCGCCAAATTATTTTCCCTGTTCCATCTCCCACTACAACCCAGTTGCATTCAAAACTATTCTTCCCTTAACTTGTGGGTTTTCTGGCCTTTGCTCAAGCAGTTTTCCTTTGTTTGAAATGGGCTGCCTCTCTCCCCTCAATATTATTCAAGACCCAGCTAAAATGCTACCTCAATCGGGAAGTTATTCCCCAACCTTCAAGACATGATCAATTAACTGCTTTGCATCTAGACTCACTCCATGTTAAAAACATCTCCCGGAGGTCAGCAACCCCCTTCCATGCCTGGTAGCCACCTAGCTCATTAAGCAATACAAGGCTTAATTTTACAGGCCCTTTCCAGAAAAAGTGCTATGACACATATCTGGTTTTTTTCAAGTGAAGTAAAATCCATTTCTGAGAACTTTACAACACTTGAGACAACAACTAGGATGTTATAAAATGAAATCACTTATCTTTAAATTCACTTTCTTATCAGTTGGCTTTATTCTTTCTATTTGTATAGCAACTAATAATTCCTTCCCCATTCTTCCTTTTTAATCCAGAAGGCATCTTTCACTTAAGGCAAAGCACCAAATAATGAATCATTCATACTTTGTTTCTTTCATGACAGAACCATATTCCAATAAGCATTAAGAAACATAACTGGGCAATCTTTAAAAATGAGTATTTTAAATATTTTATCATAAATGACCAAAAAGTTGGTTTGCATGAGCTATACAAAAATTTAATTTTAAGATTAAAAAATAGTGACCCATTATAGCACTCTGCCATATTGAGGCTTCCAAATACATTCAACAATCATTTATTAAGCATTTGCTATAATGTGAACTACAAGAGAATTAGTCTAGAGGGTAGTTTTGGAAAAAATAAAACATTTACATTAAATGTTTTATATATAATGGGTTTTTACATCCATCAAGATAGATAGGGCAAGTATTAATTCTAGTTTGCAGAAGAAGAGAGATGCAGAAAGATTACGTGGCTATCCTTGGGTATGTGTAGGAGCAGTGGAAGAAAAAACATCACTTCAAGTGGACATCTATGCCCCCTGCTTTTGAAGGGCTCTTTACAAAGAACTTTGCAAACATTATCTCATTCAGTACATAAGGCTTTGCAACATTAAGTGGTCAGGGAATTTAGAGTAGAATAGAGTTCATTATGGGATAGGGTTAGTCAGGTAACGGATGGGAGACTTGAAGAAATGACTGTATTTGGATTAGCAAATAGAAGGAGAAACATCATGATGGAAGGCAAGGATACAGGCACAGCCAGGTGGGTCTGGGGCAAAAGAGTAAAGGCATAGTTTGGGAAAAAATGTATGAAAGATTGACTAGGTAGGGCATGGTTATAGCTGGTAAATCCTTTGAATGCCAAAATAAAAAAGAAGTGAACATGGGTAAGGATATAGTGTCTGGGAAAGCCTGGCCGGCAACTGCAAGAATCTTGGTGTGAGAGGATGAGGGCCTGAAATCTGAAATGTGGATATGCAGAGGAAGGAGGAAATAAAGCCTAAAGACACTGATAACTGAAAAGGGGTGAGGAAAGAATGATTTTAAGGCAATCTCAAGGTTCTGCTTATGCTTAAGAAATAAAAAAACACACACAAAGAAAGGACTTGTCCAAGTCCAATTTTGAGACCTCCCCCTCCCATTTCCGGCAGCCCTTTAAAACTGCTAAATATTAATTCTGATGCACTTTCCCCTCTACTCCTGCACAATGGTTAGGTTTTGTTGGGTTTTTTACTTTGTCACAACAGCTCTCCCCTTTTCTTGGCCAAGGTGGAATCCCTTATTGAAGGAGCCTCTCTGTTACGGATAGTTGAATTCCTGCTTCCGGAATCTCTGTATGTTTAAGGATTCTCAAATTCTCAAATTCTAGCTAACGACCTACCGATTCCAAGCCATATATGGTACAAGACAATAGCCATACAATAAAAGAACATGACCAGTCCTTATAAATAGTCAGGTTGAAATCGGATTCCACGACTTCTGCGGCGACCTCCGGTCCCTAAAGACTTCTGGAAATCAGGTCTCCCTACAAGCTACAGTACAGTGCTGAACAGCACGCACTCAGGCCCCTTCTCAGTAACCCGCCCCAACATCCACCCTCACGGCCGGGTTCGTGAGTAGAATCCAATTTTCCATGGCCCACTGGATCTGCAGGGCGGCTCGGTGCAGGCCCGGGCAGCAGAGGCAGGAGGGGCTTCGGGGACAGGGGGGTCCCGAGCGGTTAGGGATCTTCCTGCTGCCCACCCCTCTAATGTCTCCTGCTCCAAGAAAACCGAAAACCGACACTGTGGCCCCACTACCCCTCCCGGATGTCTCCGATCCCCGGAAGCGACCAGGCCCAGCGGCACCCCAGTTCCCTTTTCTCAGGGCAAAGGGGTCTGTGGGGGAATTAGCCTAGCGTCCACAACCCCCTCCCCCCCAAATATGCCTGGGCCTGGCTTCCTGCCAAACCCGCAGCGTAGGTTACCCGGAGTTGGAAGGCGCCGCTCGCTGCCGGGCGGGGCGGGCTGCTGCAGAGTCGGCGGTGGGATCTGCGTCTGGAGCAGCGGCAGCGGCGGCGGCGGCTCGGCGTCCGGGGGCCTGAGGCCCGGAGTGGGGCCGGGCAAAGGGGCGCAGCGCCGCCGCTTCGGGGAACCGGGGCTCAGCAGCGCCGCCTCGAACTCCATGGGCCGCTTCAACGTCGCCCCGCACGCCATGCCGCCGAGGGGCCAGGGACCAGGAGCGGACGCGGCTGTAACTGCGGCCGGAGGGCTCCTCAACGGAGCTTCCAAGCCAAGCCGGCTCCAATGGCGCCTCCAGCACCCGGCAGCGGCGCTGGCCCCGCCTCCTGTGACGTCACGGGACCCGGCCACCGCGCGGCGGAGGGGGGGAAGCCGGAAGAGGGCCGCTCTGGCAGGTCCGTCAGCCTCGTCCCGGCCCACGGCGCCCCCTGCTGAGGAAATGGAACGGTCTGGGCGGAGAGCTTGGTCACCAAGCAACCTCGGGAAGGCCCCCACCCCCGCCTCCGCCGCTCCCAGGGTCCCATCCTTTCCACCTTTTCCGAGCCGTCGCGGCGGGGTGGCCCCTTAGGTTTTCGCACCTGCTCGACACGGGCGTTGGGGAAGGGAGAGCTCGGAGGGGGCCTGTCGAGAGGCCGGGGGGGCGGGGTGGGGTCTGTGTCTCCAGGTCCGGTCACCTCCTTTATCTAGGCCGCTCTAGTCTCGGTGATAAAAGAGAGGGTGATTCTAAAATGTCTTCAAGGGCATTCCCGAGTCCAGGGAAGTCTTCCCTTAAACGTAACCCGAGATCTGAGGACGGACTTTAGGAAGTCCACCAAGCCCATGAAATTGTGTGTGTGTGGATGTATTTTGGGATAGATGACCCATATCTTCATCAGCTCATCAAAAGGGTCTGTTACTCAAAATAGCTAAACAAACAAAACAACCCACTGGCTTAAATCATCCAAGAATGGTGTCAGAGTGTTAAGAACGTCAACTGATAGCTGATTTGCCAGTCTCCCCATCTAACCTGGCAGCTCAGGTGCTTCCTCAGGTCTATTCGAATTTTTTTAGGGCAGTGCCAACTGTAAAGTGCTTTTGATATTCTGGAGAGATAAATAGATAACAGGAGGGTTCTGCTTTCAGAAACTGTATGTGATTGTATATTACAGTGCTTGAAAACAGGTCCAATGCTTTCAACAGAATGTCAAAGGGATCTCTGATCCAAAAAAAGGTTAAAACCTTTCTATAGCTATTCATATACGTTAAATAATGGTCATACCTCCTGCGATCTGTCCCCTTCAACCTATCTCTGGAATTTTCCAAATTTCAGATACTCTCTTCTAATAGGCCATATGCTAGATCAATGTGCCCCAATATTTGAGTTGGAGAATACGGACATACTACCTTAGTCCCATTCTTTGTCCCTTTTCTGTTGCTTTTCTCTGGGTCCTCTCTACCCAGTTTCTCCAAATGTTATGAAGATCCAAACATAGGTCAGGTTTTTTTTGCATTTATATTGACAAATAGCAGAAATAATTCTAAAATGACTGAGCATACCAAATGTTAAATTTATTTTATCCCATCTCTTTTCCATAAGTACATAAAGATTTACAGTAGGCGGGCCGGCCCTGTGGCTTAGCGGTTAAGTGCGCGTGCTCCGCTACTGGCGGCCCGGGGTTCGGATCCTGGGCGCGCCCCAACGCACTGCTTCTCCGGCCATGCTGAGGCCGTGTCCCACATACAGCAATAGAAGGATGTGCAGCTATGACATACAACTATCTACTGGGGCTTTGGGGGAAAAATAAATAAATAAAAAAAATTAAAATAAAAAAAGATTTACAGTAGGCTAGAAAACTAGAAATAGAACATTATGGCCAAAAAAGAAAAAAAAGATATCACAATTATCCTGGGGATAAACATGACTGTGACTGAATTTGAGATTTAGTTCTGAGCTTCCTGGCTGCCAGGGCAAAAATGAAAACACAGTCCGTGTGGGATAGATCTTGTCACCTGAAAGGAATCGGTTTATCAGAGAAGATAGACCACAGATTCTTTTCCATAGCACTAAATTCTAAAGGTAGTTTCTCATGTGATTTTATTAGGAACCAGTGAGTGATGTAATAAAGCAATCAAGAAGATTTGAACAACAATTGCAAAAGCAAAATTTGTATGGATATTTCTTGTTATGTCCAATAAGAGCAACCTAGTGATGGTTATTTTTTAAGGAGTTTGTCTAATGTGGTCCAAGCAGATTGCTTTCTTGTGGTTTGAAAAGTGTGTCCCTTGGGTCATCATCCTCAATAGCACTTCTTTTAGCTAGGATGTTGCTAAGTGCTTTGATAGTCATTCTCTTCTCTGTGATACTTTAAAACTTTGAGCGTGCCTTGTAATATTAGTGTTTTAAAACAGGAAGTTATAACTTGTTTACATATCTGACTACACTTCAAAACTATAAATTCTTTGAGAATAATAACCAGACCTCGTTCATCTGTGTTTCCCCACCCCCAGCACAGTGTTTGAATATAGTAGGGGTAGGCACAGAATAAATCTTGTCTAATGAATAAATGGTAATTATTTCGAGGTTGTTTTCTCTGTCCCTGAAAGCTGATAGACCACATTGCTGAATGAGGGTGGATTTAGATGATTCAGAAACCAAACAAGTAGGTGGTATATCCTGTTATAAGTTGCAATTGACAGTGGCCTAAGCAGAGAGATGTCCTTGAGGGAAGCAGATGGGCTGCTCTGAAGGCCACTCAGTGTGATATCTCCTTATGAGGTCATCACAATCCAGGTCAGCATTGCTTTGCATATCCAGACACTTGACCAGTCATACACACACATATACACACATTACTAATGACCTTCCATATGCCAGGCATTATGCTCTTGTGGTTGAGGATACCATGGTATGAAAACAGATATGGTGCCCACACTTCTATGGCTTCGTCTGTTCAAGATGGCAGACATGAATCAAATCATCACAACAACAAATATATAATCACAAACTGTGACAAGTACTATGAAGGAAAAGGACAAGATATTATGAAAGAGTACAATGGAGGTCTTAACCTGTTTTGGAGAGTAATGAAGACTTCCCTGGAGAAGTGACATTTGAGCTAGGATTTAACTAAGCAAAGAGAGGGTGGGAACATGCCAAGCTGAAGGGACAGCATTTCCAAAGTCTTGTGATAGAAGAGACCGTAATGTGTTTGAAGACTCAAAAGAAGTTTCAAGTAGCTATGGTTCAGAGCATGAATATACAGAGTCAGGGGAGAAAAAACTGTTGAGGAAGGCAGGAGCCTGATCATTTTATGCCCTGTTGGCTGCCATGAGATGTTTTACCTTTATCTCAACAGCAGTGGGAAGCTACTTCAGGGGTTAAGATGGGAACAAAAGAGTTTAAATATGATCAGATATACATTTGAAAAGATTCCTGGCTGCTCTATAGAGATTGGAGGAGAGCAGGGGTGAGTGGAGGAGATCAGTAAAGAGGTTATTGTGTCTCTCCAGATGCGTGCTTTGTAGGATTAGTCTTATATTACCAGGAACCTCCCACTTCCTGGCACACACAAATTCTTTCCTAGTCCCACCTGGGGGTGTTTCTGTGACAGTTCACCCTGTGAGAGCTCAGCAAAAGGTTGAGGCTCTGTCTGTTTACTGGGGCCAGCAGTTGTCTGACCCAGGGGCATGGCTGGGCTAAAGTTAGGACTGCGAATGAAAGGAAAGAAGGATATTATCTTCAGAATCTTCCAGGATTCTTTGCCCAAAGTTTCCAAAGGAGTTGTTTGTATTTGCTGTCTCCTTTGACATACCTCCCACCCGCCACCCATCAACCCATACCAATCTGATTTCTGCCCCTCCCATTCCACTAAAATAAGTAAGTGAATTGCAAGCTATGGAGGGAAGTAGACTGATATGAGCAAAATCTAGAAGATGAAATGAACAGATCTTGATGAGGGTTAAGTATGGAGGTGAGAGTGATGAAGGACTCAAGTATGACTCCTAGGCTTCTGGCTTTCTCAGCACCCATTTTCTGAGAAAGTTTTCATCAAATGAGGATCAGACTGGGGAGGAAGACATGAGCATGGTTTTGGACATGTTGAGTTAGAAGTTCCTTTAAAGCCTCACTTGGGATTCTCAAGCATGGGGTATGTGTATGTAAATCTGTGGCTCTGGAATTCAGGAGAAGTCTGGATTGGAGAAAAAAATTAGGAGAGACATTGGTTGTAGAAATGGTAACTGAAGTTGTAGGGGCAGTTGGGATTTTCTTTTTTTTTTAAAGATTTTATTTATTTTATTTTTTCCCCCCAAAGCCCCAGTAGATAGCTGTATGTCATAGCTGCACATCCTTCTAGTTGCTGTATGTGGGACTCGGCCTCAGGATGGATGGAGAAGTGGTGCCTCGATGGGCACCCGGGATCCGAACCCGGGCCACCAGCATTGCAGCGCGCACACTTAACCACCAAGCCACAGGGCCGGCCCTGGGATTTTCTAAGGTAGGAATTCTTAGCCTTTCTTTTCTGTGTGCTATAAACCGCTTCGCTGATTGTTGTAAAATGTATAAAATAAAATAACTTATGATTACAAAGGAAATCAGTTATATTGATATAGATGCTCACATGCTGAAAAGGCTTTAATAAAATTCAATAGCCATTCTTTTATTTTTTTTTTAATATTTAATTTTATTTATTTATTTGTTTTCCCCCCAAAGCCCCAGTAGATAGTTGTATGTCATAGTTGCACATCCTTCCAGTTGCTGTATGTGGGACGCGGCCCCAGCATGGCGAGAGAAGCGGTACGTCGGTGCGTGCCCGGGATCTGAACCCGGGCCGCCAGCAGCAGAGCGCGTGCACTTAACCGCTAAGCCATGGGGCCGGCCCTCGATAGCCATTCTTAATAAGAATATGCTCTAATCACATGCCAACACACACATATATATATGTTTATATATTCATTTCCAAATAGTCTATCAATATCCATTGGATATCCATTGGCTACTGATCGACTACCTAGAAATATATAGTATATATCCACTGGATATTAATAAACTATCTGAAACTGAATAATATAAAGTCTAAAAAAGTTATTATTGAGATGGTAGAAAGACACTGCAAAGGAACTTTCAATAATAGCCTGAAACAAAGAGTAGCAAATTATCTGAGCAAAACCTAGGAATTGGGGTGGGAGTGAGGAGAGGCATGGTAAAACCCATCCAAAGGTTTAATGTGAGTGGAGAATGGGGAAATAAAAGTATTCTAAAAGATCTTAGCTTGTTGGGGGGAGGGAAGGGCGAAGTAGGAGAAGAAAGCATCTCTATAGGCAAATAGTTGGTA